AAAGACCTGACAAGAGATATTTTCGAATTAGTCATGTCCTTATGCTAATAAGTAACTTGCAAAAAAGATTTTTCTTCAACTCGTCTGCAAAAAAACTCCAGCCAAATCTATTTCGACTTCATATGATTTCCAGTGTATAAACTACCCAAATTTTTTTTTGGTTTGGAGGACGAGGGCAAAGTTTCGGACTTTGAAACTAAAATCTTACCGAAATCTTATTCAATTCTTATAAGATTCTTATATTGCGAATTATAAGAATCTTATAATTATAGTATGCATTTCTCTCGACTAGAGCATATAAGATTTTTACAAGATTTTTATCTGATTTCCGTACTTTCGGTCGCCTAGGATAAGGCACACTCTTCGAGAGAAAGCATCTTGGATGCATAAAATCGGAGTCCAGTTCCAATCGGACGTTCCACTAATGTGCTTTTCACATACGTACTATAGTGTCGTCTTTCCTAGACACCGTGATGCCCTGTTTACTTACAATAATTCATATCAAGTCAATATATCGAGCAATAATAGACCAATATATTGGGGAATATTGCTTTCTGTACATATATTACAGAAAGCAGGATGTCTGTATACAGACATCCCGGGGTGTAATCATTACACCCCGGGATGTCTACATTACACTGTAATGTAGACAGCATCCTTTATGTTGTCAATACATGAGTCAATATATCTAATTTCATAGCTAGAGGTACAGCGGCATTATACACTGTCCACAATATATTAACGATAATTGATCAATATATCGACTGAATAGCTACTCTGATCAGTGTTTTTCGTCAACTCGATATATCGGGTACGATATCTAGTCGCTAGCTATCATACCCGATATAGCTAGCTAATTCATTAGAAGTGGTACCGATGGCTAGCTATACCGCAAGTTGATATTGCCCGATAACATATTTTTATAGCTAGACATTCTCAAAGGCATTTTTTTGCTTGGGAAGTCCAATTTTATATGAAACAAATAAGAAAGAAAAAGGATTATTACTGATATTAAGGAATGGTACTGCATCACAATAGCACATGCAAAACAAAATATATCTAAAACAAGTGAAATGAATGATGCACTTAGAAAACGACGATTTTTAAGTGACAATGTGCACATGTCACTTTTCCTGTCCTCTTAACATATGTTTTAATTGCACAGGACGATGTCGAAGTGTTTGTCTAGTACATTGGTGCCTTTTGATGATTTGACTATAATTACACATGCTGTTGGGTGAGAAGTAACTATACTTCTTACCGGTAGCTGGTGTCTCGGAACCAACTGCTGTGTTAATGATGTCGAATCGAGTAATTATAGCCAGAATATGTAACAACTAAGAGGTGACTATGCACGAGATATAAATGCCTAGCTGACGTCTACCACAAAAGAATAATTAAAAATGCACCTTGAATAACTACATTATACAACATAAATATACTTTTTAACCATCAGGGCGCCTTACCAGGACATTATTCATTCGCAGTGTACAAATTAATATTTTTTGTAAAAAACACGAAATATAAACAAAAGTAAAAGTTCAAAACCGTTCTTGTTGTACCGTCTTGTCAATCAATGTTCTGAGAAAACTTTTACTGATCGCCACTTTTCAAATTTTTTGAAACTTTTCTGATTTTTGAAGAGAATTTTTAGCATGGTTCTCTGATGGTATTTTCCATTGAATCGATAGTTCCTACTTAATTTCCCTTTCGTATCCCTAACGTCTATTTGTTCATCTTTTTTAAACAAGAAGTGTGACATTATAGGAAAAAAGCATCAGAGGTGGGCGATGGACTTTCTTTAGCTCCCTCGCGGGGATCGCCTTGTAAACTTCCTGTTTCATCGTGGTTTGATGGTTAGAAAATGAAGAAAAATCATTATTTTGGTTGCATAATTACAAACGTATACAAAAGAAAACTTGACTTTTCCACAGTAGAGTTGCATCAATAAGTAAGGACAAAGAATTCATGTAACAATTTGCATTTTGAAAGCTTTAGAAAATGAGGAAACATGCAGAAGTAAAATTACTGAGTAATAGTTTTTATTACTGGAAGCTACCTAGGAATAGAGACTTTCGGTGACTGATTTATTGGCGGAGTCTAACACCGCTACTTATGGGCATAGCCTTATGGTTTCTAGGATTTTTACGATTCAATGTTAACTGTGATGGATAAGTAGGCTGCTAGTGTTGATCCAACTTAACCTAAGAATTTATTGTGATCAGTTCATCGATGTACCTATAAAAAAGTATTATTCAATAATCTGCAAGTTTCATAAAATTTTCTGTTGGACATTATTTTTCCCCACAAACTCGAATTATATCATCACTAGTACATGTTTCTCAAACTGAAGTTCTATCAAATGCTCAAAATATAGAATAGATTTAGTTAACGGATCGTTATGTTTGATTTGGCTATAGTGATGGTAGTGTGAGATTGTTTACCTTTTTCTTTCTTTAAAATTAACCTTAATGCGTTTACATTAATAGCAGTCGAATTTTTCTGTTTAAATATCAGACTCATTTCTTCTTATTCCTCCTGCTAAATAAGTAAATGTTTTATATATTGAAGAACACTTATTGAAGAACACTATTGATGTACACTTTAACTAAATGTTATTAGTGTGTTCTGTAATAGCTAATAATTTCCATGACATGTTGTGGAAAATTAATTTGTTCATTTAATTTTTCACCAAGTTTTATCCAGTCATATTCTGTTTTAGTTGGATCATCACGAAGTATTTGTTTGCCCCATTCCATTTTATTTCGTTCTAACATTGATACTATTTCTTCTTTTGTTATTTCATTATGAACTTGTCCATATTGCAACAGTTTGAATGTTGTTAATATTTTATTTTCTTTCAAAGCATCTTTTACTTGACTCAAACCTTTTTGTGATATACCATTAAATGTCAAATCGATAGAACGAATATGATTATTGGAACGGATTAGACGAGCGATTTCTACTGCTCCTTGATCACCGATAACATTATCGAGACCACCTAATAATATTGTTGCTTTCATATAACCAAGATTCAATTGTTCTAATGAAGGATGATTGGATAGAGCATCTGCTAACGCTTTTGCACCATCAGCACCCACACAATTTGATGCTAGACCAAGACGTTTTAGACATTTATCATGTTTCAGACCTGCTGCTATTTCAATTGTACCCTGATCACCCATTTGATTGCAGCATAAGTATAGTGTCTCTAAATGATTATAGCCGAGTTCCAGATGAGCACGTATCACTCGACCACTTTTCACTGTTAAACCATTTGTATCAATGTAAAGATGTTTTAATGTTTGATTTGATTTTAAACCATTGAATAAAATTTCACAACCATCGTCTAATAGACCGGTATTTAATAAATCCAATGTTTGTAAATATTTATTTAATTCTAACATTTTTGAAATATGACCAACACCCGCTGCTAAAATAGGATTTCGTTTCAACCATAATGCTTTAACTTTGGTGTCTGATGTCAGTGCGTCACAGATGAGTGCCATACAATCACCATCAAAATTATTCCCGGCGATGTACCACGTATCAATTTTAGAATCATGATTATTACGTATATAATCAGCGATTCCTCGAGCACCAACGATACCAACAATATTATTACCTATAAATAAATAACTTTTTTAATATGTAATATTTAATTCATTTCAATAGTTTGTAAAACTATCTAATCTGTTCAGGTAGATTAGTCACGTAGTCTAAGAAGATTAGTATTTTAAATCTACGTTTTCATTTCAGATTTACCTAACAACAATCTGTGTATAACTGAACTATATTTCATTGCATTTAATAACGGTTGAATGCCTTCGGGACCGACAACTTGTTTGCATAAATCTAATCGTCCACCCGTCATAATAGCACCACGAGGAAATACAATTGACTGATCATCAATTGGACCACCCTTATCTAATGACATGTGTTCAAGTAGTGGTTCTAATTCTTCTAATGGACATGGTACAACTAAAATGAAATGAAGAATAACAATTAACTATCATTTTTCTACTCATTTTTCATCAATATATTTACCTGGCTCTGCTTCAGGTTGCAAAACATAGGATGATGGTTCAGCATTTAACAGTTGTTCACGTTGCTCTTTTGTATATTGCAGAGCACGATCTTTACGATTTCGTGCTTTCATTTGTTCATCAACAAAACTTGGTGAAGCTTTTTGCAAAATCTGGCAAACAGCAGTTAATAAACGTTTATAATATTGATAACAATAACCTTTTTCAGCATCCAATTGTTTTTGATCAACCACATTAATTGAAATGGGATGTAAATATTTGGCAATGTCTTTTGCCATCACTACAGAATAAATAGAACAATATAACGTTATTACCTTGAAAATAAAAGACTTTTATCAAATTATAATTATGTCTTACCAGTACTATAATTATATCGATTATTTCCAATTCTTGGTGCTTCCTTAGCACAATTTGTCAACCATTCTTGTGGTTTAATATCTTGTATTTCTTCTTTATCGTTTAAATAATCATCTGGTTGACGCAATACTAAACGATAATCACGTTTTAATTGTTCACCAAACATCTTAACGCATGCTTGCTGTAAATTTTCTAGTAATTGTTTTTCTGTATCTGTTTTCATTTGATTTGCACAAACAGAGAGAGTTTTCAAATCCGCCCAACTACCATATTTTGGAATAGTATCAAGATATGTTAACATTTGATCAGGCTTTTTCAAGTAAAGCAAAATCCAATAGCGAAAAAATGTTAAATCATCATCTTTTGGTTCTGGATTATGAAATGTTGTTCGTTTACACCATATTAATAGTAGAATATCATCGAAAAGATAATCATCTATTTCTTTTATTAATTTATCAATAGTCGTTTCATCAATTTGTTTTGATAATCCAACGGGCGATATATGAGTCAAATTACTTTCTTTACTTTTCATACGATTTCTCGCTGATATTTGTGATGATTGTTTTTGATGATTAAAAATTGTTGCTTCTATTTTCTCATGAAATGTCGCGAATAATTGCTGTTGATCAATACTTGCCTTTATCATTTGTTTATTTGCATTCAGGGACTTTTGTTGTTCAATCAGAAACGATTTAATATCTAAAGATGGCCACTTATTGGGTGTAAAATGACCACCTGAATGTGAAACAATTATCGCATCTTTAAATACTGAAGCTAAACGTAATGTCCGTTCATTATCAACAAGTTCATCTTTGGTACCATAAATGTGTAGCGATGGGAAATTTTGAATATAATTCGGTTTCATTATTTGTTCATGAACATCAGCACGCGATGGAAAACCGGAGATTAAGATAGCAAAACGAAACGATATATTACTAAACGGTTGCAACCCACATAATATACCCGTCAACGCACCACCTTGCTAAAAAAAGGATAACATACCAGTGAAACAATTACTATTAAATGTTTTTAGTTAATAGCATACCGAGAACCCTAAGATACCATCAAAGGGTCCATCTGACTTAAATAATTGATCGATGTAATGAATGGATACATCCAAATGATGATATGATCGATTGTCTTTTGATGCATTCCACCATTGTCGTTGATACGATGTCTCTGGTAGATTACCATCACCGAATGCTGATAACAATTCTAGTTTAATTTCACCGGTTGGATTATATGGTAATGGAGCATTTGCAAAATAAAACGTGGCAATGCCTTTCAATAGTTTTACCAATTTTTTTGTTGTACGACGTAAACTATTCGCATTTTGACGAAAACTATGCAACACCAAGATTTTCAATGGTTGTTCTGTCTGTAGTGCAGGTGTTGGTGAGGTATTATTAGTAGTAGTATTCTCAAGCGGAGATGGTGGTTTCATGGATTGTACCGACTTAATAAATTCGTTTCGAGCAGTTTTTAAATAATCTTCTTCATCTTTTGTTGATTGTCTACCCAATAACTGATTTCTATGTGGATAACGTCCAAATAGTTCAATGATATGTTGGTGTGTTTTAGTTGCTCGAGCAATTGATAAATAACGTTTTCGTAAATCACGTTGCGTTATGGAAGATGGTAAATCGTTCATTAATTGTACACCTTTTGTCGTGTAGATGAGATTTTCTGAATGTATAAGTGGAAAATAGAGAAATATTCTTTCTGGTGAACTGTATAATGTTACGTGCTGTTCGTTGACGATTTCTAGTGTTAAATCTAATGCCAGCTGATCATATTTAAACATATCTGGTGTGCCACGATAGATATTTCGTGAAAATTGATCGAATAATAGAATTAAAACAATTTTACCGCGACATGTTGATTGCCATCGTTTGTAGATATCACCGTCCTTATTCGATGCTTCAATTAAATATTTCTCAAACTTTTCTTGGATCTCTCTGTCAGTATCACGTTGAAATTTGAACCATAATTTGGTTAATAATGGATACGATTTAGACCATGTATTGACATTGTCACCAAACCAGTAATTATAAATAGTGTTGATGATTGATTGATCATCAATTGCAAGTGCACTTGTTGACAAATCTTCATTTTGCAGAGGAAGATCGGGTGAACGACAGACTAATAGCGTGGATGAGATTGGTTGAGCAACAATAGCTGTCATTTTCCTGTTTAATGCTGGGTTGCTGCTGGGTTTAATTCTTTCGGTACTGTTTCACACTTTACATGAAGTTCTGTAGCAAAAAACGCGGTATATCTCATTTAAAAAAGCATTTAATTCTGAATAAAAATGCGTCATTTAAAAATTTTAAAACATTGACATAGGGTTGTGGAGAGGTCCGACATTTGGGGATTGATGTTTCCCAGACGCACATCATACTTAATTATCTCAGAAATGACAAAAGTGACAACCTGAACGCTTTAGGATATATACTAGAGACAACAAGGAATAAAGTCGCTTATTTCAAAATATTTCAAAATGCTTCATTTCTCTAATGCAGTTTTTCTAAGGTGGTAAAAATCATGACAATCCGTGACATATTTTGAAATAGTTTCCACGTTTACATTGCTTAGCCAAATGACATTGCGTCAAAAACTCGAAAAGAGCGCATTAACGGCTAAAAGATGCTCCATTTCACTGGCGTTATTTAGATAGAACTAACGACGAGAAATCAAAACGCATATTACTTTTGAGTTTAGAGTATGACTGTAAATGTTCCCATTACGTTGATTTAACGCTAACTGAAGATACAGTTAAAATAACGGCAACTAGGCATGCACCAATTTCGATTATTCGAAATCGAAAATGTCTTACCCTAAATGCAAAACGAAATTTTTCTTATGGCAAAATACTAAGTCGAGATAAGAGTTCAGATTACTTGCGTAGTCAGAGGCTAGTTTTCGATGCAGAGCAGCACATTTTGTACACAATTATTTGCTCTACAAAATGCTCCAAAAAATACTTTTAGTCAGATACTCGACTCTGTCGCGAACTGTCTCTAAAGATCTGCCGTTCGAATAAAAGTGATACCAGTGAGATTTGATATACGCGTCACGAATCATCATCTTTTAATTCAGATTCAGTTCAAAAACGATGAAGCTTTAAAATCAGTTTTGGGATTGCTGTTTAAGGCCACCTGTTATTACAGTATTCCTCAAAAGTAGTCTTGCTTCTCCTCTATCTACGATATGAATTTAGAGTGTTGCCTGTCAATGGTTACTGAAAGATAGCTATTTTACGATCGAGGTCTGTGGAAATGAGATTCTGAGATATGAGATCCTTTCCAAGAAAAATTCATAACTCACTCTCGGAT